TTTTTATCTTGCGAGCTCACGGGCCGGCTCGGGCAAAGCCCGTGTCCCCAAAATGGGGCTCGGCCCGAGCCTAGGCTCGGGTCTACCGAGCCCCGAGCCGAGCCACAGGCGGCCCGAGCCGACGAGCCCGTTTGCCATCCCTACTTCCTGGGGGCAAGTCAAGATATCTCACCCTGCTCCATCTAGTCGTCCTGCTACTTTTTCAGAGGAAGATATGAAGTTCCTCAAGCAGTCGATATTTGAGTACGTGTCTTTCATGGATATGGACATTGGTAAGGCTAGTGCTACCAGACATAAGGATAAACTTGAGCATTTGAATGCGAAGTTAGAGCAAGCACTGACACTTCCGTCGCTCAATCTTTCTGCTGATTTTAAAGCAACGTTGAAAGTTATCCATTCTGAGGTCCTCTCCTTGCTGGCCAAGAATGTTGAACTGAAGGCCAAAAGTACTCAATATCTTCGCGCTATATCTGAAAAAGAGTCTTTGCGTCAGGAGATCAACAAAGCTGAGGATGAGTTGAAAGAAATCTCTTCCGAAGTCATGATTGGAGACTCTTTGATGGCTAATTTGGCTGCTCAGATGAAGGAATTTCAGGCCAAAATGGACGACTGCAAGGCGAGAATGGCTGCAAAAAAGTGTAACGCCTCCCAAGAAATTGAGCGAACTAAGTCCTTGGTCGAGCAGTACAAGAAGTTGGAAGTTGATGATGATGTCGTGGTCGAATTGAACATCACTTCCTCTCGGCAGAATGAGGGCTGGGAAAAACTTAGGGAAAGAATTCGTTCGGTATGGGACGGATTGTAATTAAGACATATAATGCCTTAACTTTTTCTTTTTGTAATTTCGCATTTGACTTTCCCTTTGTAACCTTGTACATCATTAATGTACATCTATGTTAACTTCTTGTGCATTTATTTGACGTTTGTCTTTTAATCGCCAATTCTTCAAGCATTCAACTGCTTTGTGCTAAAAATCTTGCACATTTTCTCTTGATATTCTCACCTCTTTTCCCAAGATTTTGGGCTACTTAATTCCATTTACTAGGTAGAACGTGGCTGCTCATATTTTGTCTCTTCATCTCCACCCCCTATAAATGCACGTATGCTTCGCACTTTCCATCTTCCATCTTCA